CCCCCCCATTAGAGTGTTGCCAACTTTTAAATCAATGCAATTTTAAATCAATCAACTTTTAATCTTGCAACTCAACTTTTAAATCGTTGAGTTTGTTAATCAAAAATTCGTTAAAGTTTTACAAATAATAGGTAAAAAAACAAATCCCAAATTCCAAATTTGGGCTTCCAGATGCCCATATTCTTCTGGAAACGTACGTTATTCAAAATTGTATGGCTCTAGGTACGTTGTTTTAACACATAGCGAGAAACATTCACACATTTATGCAGATTCTTCATTATTCAATGTCTTTAAATATAATACAGGGCGATAATATTTGGTATCAACAATTTGAAAAGTGAATCGGACATTTATAGTGAACCGACGCAAAATGTCAAAACAAAAATAACAGTCCTTCAGGGCAAATTGTCCCTTTGGACTAAAAAGGAGAAATGTGATATATGTGCATACATTATTTAAATGCATAACAAAAAAGAAATGTGTATTACTGATTGTCTGATTAATACAATTACACGTTATCTAACACAAGTAATAAATATCAGTCTGATAGTAATAATAATGTAAGGAACTGATAATATGTAGCTATAAAATTGTAAAGAAAATTAAAAGGTATATATACATTAAGTAACAAGATGTACTAATTTTCGAGGTATTGCTCTAGTTTCAGAAACAACGCTTGGCAGAGAAAACGCCGCACCATGGAAGAATAAGATGAAAAATGAGCAACGCCTTTGCCGGGAATCGAACCACGGACCTCTGGAATACGCGCTCAGCGTGCAGACCACTCCACTACGAAGCCATGCTAAGTAGAAAGAAATACCTTATAAACAGACTAAATTTTGCGCATAGATTTACAATCAAGCATTTAAAATATGATTTAATATTCAAAGATGTACAAAAATAAGAAATTTACATAAGTATATAGAGTGTCAATTATATGTTGAGACCTAGTTTCGGGCAATACATTCTTGAACACGTCGTTGCATTGAATCCTGTCCGAACCATGTTCTGTAGTATTGCATACCAAGCGCTGTGGATCTAACAGAATCACGGCTTAACGCAAATAATCACGGAACTCGCGGTTTATCTTCTTTCCTTGTAGAAAAGGTGCTATTCAACCGACGTCCAGGCATGTCATACAAATACCCGATTGCCGTTTGATTGCCCAATTGATTTCCTATACAGTTCTAGCTTCCAAGGAACTCTAATCTAGTTAGGATATTAGAAAAGATCCCAACTTTTTTTATTCAAAAAAATGTCAAGAAATATGGAAGGTATGAAGATTTACAGCTAAGCTGAAGACAATCTCAAACTTGCTTTCTTCGAAACTATGTTTTTGGAATTAGAGACCAAAACATCTTAAAATTTATTAAAACGATATTTTTGAATTAAAATGCATTAGATTCGTAATTGAATTCTCGATTAAACTATAAGATATTTTCTCCTTCCTTCCATAATCCTTCGTGGTGTAACGGTAGCACACTCGGCGCGTATTCGAGAGATTCAGGTTCGAGTGCCGGCGAGGGCATTGCACATTTTTCACGTCTTCTGCTTCAAAAATTATACAATGCCTCTACAAAACTATTTCATAAACGAACCACTCGTTATTTATTTTTTGAGTCTATAAAAATAAAAAAAATGTCTGCCCTCCGATCCCGCTCTTTTTGCGAGGCTTTAAATGGGATTTTAGGACGCACAGTAACGACGAATGCTCGACTGTAAAAATACTTTGTTTTCCATATTAGACCTAGGCTATTCTTGCGCATGTAATCAATCACCTTTATCTTTACAATGCTTCAGTTCTAGAAACTAGAATTACTATAAGTTTTCACTTTTCAAAAATCTTATTTTCAAAATAAAAAAATTAAATAAATAAAAAAAATCTGAAAGTTTTCAGATTTTACATCATGTCCAAAGGGGCGTTTTTTTTTAACGTTTTGAGTGTTACCTTTATTTATTAAATATCATGTTCTTCGCACTTAAACTATGAAATTCAGTTCAACAGCAATATCGCAAAATAATTTTAAAATGAGCTATCTTTTATCCAATACACAGTCTCGAAGGCTGCAGATAATCCCCCCCCCCCGTACAGTGTTGCCATTGCTCGCTTTGAAACCGTTGAGTTTGTTAATCAAAAATTCGTTGAAGCTTTACAAAATATTAAATAGATAATAAACAAAATTTCAAGCTCCAAATTAGGGCTTCCAGATGCCCAAATTTGGTGAAAGATTACGTTAGTCAAAATTTGATGGCTCTAGATACCGTTGTTTTATCACAATGCGAGAAACATACATACATACATACATTTATACAGATTCTTCATTATTTAATTTCTTTAAATATAACACAAGGCGATAATATTTGGTAGCAACAATTTAAAAAGTGAACCGGCATTTATAGCGAATCAAAGCAAAATGCCAAAGTGAAATTAGGAACACTTCTGGGCTAACGCTGTTTTGGATAATAAACATGTCGAAAAAAATTTAGAATTTTATATTTGTTTCTTAATGGGAGGAAAAGACATAAACAGTATTGGAGAGTGGGAAATGAGAATAAAGGATATTATGCAATATTAATTAATTCATACGTATAATTATGCTACATATATTATACATTTATGTATACCAAAGAAATTTTCAATAATTAAAACATTATAACGGAATACAGCTTATTATTCATACGAGAAACAAAAACTGCATAATATTAGGTCATTGTACATATACAGAGGCTGTTCACACATTTTTGAGACGATTTATATTATATTCTCAAAACTAAATTACATAAAATTCTTGTGTTTTAAATGTTCTATTTGACATCCCTTATTCTGAACTATCTTTCGACACCGCAATTTCCAAGATAATAATGCCTTTTGAAGTGGCAGAAGAGGTATTCGATCCCATTCCTCCCAAACAGCTTTTCAGAGTACTGTTAGGGTTTTGGGACAACGTTTGGATAATGCAGTTTTTAAAATTCCGAAAAGCACAAAAATCCATAGGTGACACATCGGGAGATTTAGTAGGGACATCAGTGAAGGGTATGGCCTTGATACCAGTTTTTTGTTCCATTTCTTTTAGGAAATTTACAGTGGATTTTGATGTGTGACTGCTAGCTTTGTCCTGATGGAGTCTCACGGATTGATGGCACTGTGGATAAAGCGATAGTATTTCATTCAGAAAAATTGGCGATAAAATATGTTCCTGATAGTATTTGGAGTTAATCTTCACATATTTTTGCACTCTCTTTATTTTTAACTTGCCATTATAAGAAAAACCAGCAACAATCATGAATCCCTTAGAAAAACTTCGATTCTTTGAACCATGTACTTGAATTTTTTTCTCCCCTTTTATGATAATAAATGACTCTTTTTTTGTTACAATAATTTAAATAAACCCATGCTTCATCTATTGTGACAATTGTTTTCCATTTTTCTTTGAATAAGTGTTTCTCATATAGAATTCTGCAGCGTGTCCTGCGTTGAGCGATATGCTTAAGCATATCGCTTATATATTATATACAGTGAAGCACGATGTACATTGCGTTTTTTCGCTTTCTTAAGATTTAAATCAACGTTTATCATTTGTTTACAGTGGACACCGAGCATTTTAATGATTTTTGCAACTGTCCTTTGACTAGGGGAATTTTCTTTTAACATTAAACAACGTACCTTTGCAATAGTTCGAAGATGTCCGTTTTTACCTTGGATACTTGTTTGGAACTTTTGTCCCACTTGAGGCTCCAATTTGACGTTTTTTTCCTTTCTTGTTGATGATATTACCTATCGATGCTTTAAATATCACAAAATCATGACTCTCACATCGCTTTTGGATAACGGAGTATGCATATTTCTCTTCGGAAAGAGCGTAAATGTAGCCTTCGAACCACTGCTTTGTTAAATTCGCCATTTTGAATAAAAACAAAACTTTCAAGCCACAGACGATAATTTACTTTTAAATACATAGTACAATTGCAATTACTTCTTTTGCAGCAAACGATTTTTTATTGCTGCTTACCAAAATCGTCTAAAAAATGTGCGAACAGCCTCTGTATATATATATATATATATATAAGTAAATAAATGTAAAAACAATTGTTCTTACATTTTCAAGAAGTCTGAAAATGAATTTCTTAGTGCTTCATGCAGATTTAAGCTATTTTTCCTAAACACACTGAAACAGCTTGCCCATTGCGAGCCCCCCCCCAGAAGTATTTTTATGCGGCTCGCGAGTACATCTTAGTTATGTATTTGTTCTAAATAAGGTGCGAAAAGCTATTGAAACAACAACTAAAACAGCAAATGTTTTCCGCAGACAAATTCTGAATCATCGAGTTTGTTGCATTCTTGAAGAGGTTAAAAGGGAGTACAAAGAAATTATTTAGTACAACGAGGTGAGGTAGTTATGTCAAGGTGCTGTATTAAAACATTGTTTTGATTTCATGACATAGCAATAAATAAATAAAGAAGACCATTGACGAGCTATATAATGACACATGGGTAACAAATCTGGCATCTCTTATTAACTTAACACAACATTCTCAATACAGAGATGCAAGGAAAGAATATCATTAGCATTCATGCTGTTATTAAACTTTTCAAAATTAAACTGTAATTATGGCAAACACAGCCTGAAGCAAAATATTTCTTACATTTTCTAAATCTTAAATTCTGCCCTATTATTTCAAATAAAAAATTTCAAAAATATGCAAGAAGAAAATCACTATTACTACATGAATTTGAAAAAAAAAAAGTTATTATTTTAAGGAATTGTAGCCAATCTAAATAATACATTATTTTTATTGCTATTAAAGCAACCATCAGTAATCTACAAAAAGAATTAATTAATTTATCAGTGAGATTTTATTCTAGCATTTGGAAATATGGATTTAATTAACTTTTATTCGTACTTGTTGAAAGACTAATACTCTCAGTTATGAATCTTTGTAATAAGAATAATATGTTTATTTGGAAGTATATTTATATTTGAATTGTGTTTTTTTTGCAGCTGAAAATCAATACGTCTGAGAAAAGGACCCGATTGACAGATGAGCATCTAGAATCGGTGATAAAAATCTTTATTCAAGGCTACAAATTTTGTCAGAATCGAAATGCCATTAAGTATCAAGTTGTAGTAAGAAATAAAGAAATTTATAATCGTTTACATTCAAATGCATGTATTTTTTTTTCGTGTGTTGAAGAAAATTTAATAAATAAAAGAAGGAATGCTGTCATTATTTATTCTCTTATTTTGTCCTACCTCGGAAGTTTTCTCTACAAATTTAGAAAACTTTCATGAAATTAGTTTATTATAAACTTTTATTTAGATGTTTCACTCTGGGTGAAACTTTGTCATCGATTTTTTAAACTAGTTTTTGATAAGCTATCGAGTTCAGATTTTGTACTCGCACTGTTTCTCGTTGACAATGCAATGTAATGAAGCGATTTTTTTCAAAAGTTGATTTAGACTTTTTTATATAATATTTAAATAATTTTAATATATATCTTCGTTTAACGAGCAGTCTAAGGATAGGGGGGAAATTAACCAAAAGAAAGAATCTCATCATTTTAACTAGGGAAAGTAGGAAAAGACTGCAAGTTTGAGGGGAAAAAGAATGTAAATATAAAGAAAAATATTATAGAAAATACAGTGGAATATTATCGAAATAAATTTTAAGTTAAGCTGCATTAAAGGCAAATTAAATTTTCAATAGACTCTAATTCTACGAGCATTTTAACCATGCTAAAATTAAAAATTCTGAAATGATACTTATTTAATATGTTTCAAATAGGTAAAAATCACTTAAAAGAAATCCATCTTACAGCGAAATCTCGTGAAAAAAGTGCGTAAAATAACATTAAATTACGCATATTTAAAAAAAATACTGAGCAATTCAAGTACAACTACAGCTTAATCTCGATTAAACACAATTTATAAAATTTTACCGCATACCACTGAAATTACTTGTAGTAAATCAGCAAGTAATTGTAATAGTAGATAAAAAAAAAAAAAAAAAAAAGTAAATACAGGAAAACGTCTAGAATTTTTTAATGAGATTCTTTTGAGCTAGGTTTCTTTTAAGGAAATCTGTGTTATCCCCACATATAACGTAAATACGAGCCACTTTCTTTCAGAAAATCTTCCTCGAAGGCATTCTTCCTTCGGGCAGATGGCCTTCGATGGTTTTGCCATAGCTTAGTAAACGCAAATCAAACCTTTAGAGAAAGTTCTTGCCAAATGCATCCATCCTCTTAGGTAGATAGATTGTGCTTTGTCGTAATCAAGTTATCCAATGCAATCTTTAGAAGCCAGATCAGAACATTATGAGTGCTCATTTGCATTCATATTTTAATCACATTTTTATTCAAATGGAATTGGCTCACAGACTGTTAAGTATGAAACAGTTAATACAAACCTAAATAGAATATTTATGAGTTAATATTTTATATATTAAAGCCTTATCCCCAATTTATTTATTTATTTATCTTCAACATTTCCTTCGTAAGAGGAATCATAGTCTTTATTTTTTAAAATGGAGGCCCAGATATCTTGTACTTTGCCTCTGCGGCATAAATATGTCAAGCAGATGAAACACAAGGCATACAACGCGAGCTTACAAGAGTACCAAGCGTACGTAAACGCGTCTTTATTCTCAGCATAACTGTTCTGCTTGATGTTTTGAATGAAAACCAAAATTTCAAGAAGATATTTACAGTTTTTAGCTCCCTTCAGGAATGTTTTTGTGTAGCGAAGAGGAGGTAAATAAAAGCAGTGTCATAAAATATCGAGATAAGTCCTGTAGGACCTTTCAACCAAACCTGAAGTGAATAAAGGATGTCAAAAAAACATGACCTCTGGCCAAGTGGGTAGCTCATTTCGATCAAGATGGAAAACTCGGAGGTTTGGAATTGCGATAGGAGGACTTTCCAAGTGGCGACGGAAGGAATGGCAGAAAATTAATTATCCCTTTGGAAGGTAAGATTAGATTAGTCTACGAGGGGCGCCGTCTCGACTTTTGACTTTAATGTCACAAGGATGGGAATTGCCACAAGACGCTCCGATTTCGTTTAAAAGTGACTGAAAACAAAAGTGAGCCCGTCCATTAACCGCATTTATATTCCCTTCCATGCTATTAATTTCCCTGCTGTTAAATTTGCAGCATGGTGGAAATGGTGGAAAATTTTCAAACTTCGAAGGTGAGTAGTTTCATTCAAGGCAAAACTTTCTGAATCCTTTTTAAGGATGATTTCGACTTTTAATTTCGATTAAGACTTTTCGACATTAAAAAAATTCTCTAGGTTTATATCTCTGTGTGAAATTATTAGAATCAACTCTACTTAGTACACAGGAATGGTTCGCTGTACCAATATTCCTTACACGCTGTGCTGGGTCCATTAGCAACAAGTTTATTAGTTACAAAAATATATAATAATAATAGTATATACTATTAGTGTATAATATTTATTATAGATATAAAGTTACGCTAATTAAAAGAAAAAACACAAAAGGCTGTGTTCAATTGAATTGAATTTGTAAAAGTAAACCAGGCAATGCTGAGGCAAATCTTGAACAGAACACGGAGTATTTTTCAAATAGTAGGCTAAATAAGTAAATCAAAACTATTTCTGATATTCTGTAGAGACTATTAAGTTTTCTTTGGAGCAGAAAATATGAAAAATTAACTGTGCTCAAGTCGCGCTTCCAACCACGAATCATCCATTGTAGATTGGCTAACCGCTTAGACCTCAAAACTATCTATGGAGAAATGTGATAACTCTTTTCACTATCCTCCACTTATAAAGGTGAAAGGGAAGAAGAAAGTGACCCAGTGAACCAAATCCAAGTGGTGACGGATTATCGTCCTCTATGTTTTATCGTCTACTTAGTTTGGCACTACAGATATAATCAAGCTTTTCTCGGAACAGGAAACTTAAATCAATTGTCGGGATTCGAATATTTCCAGAATCAGCTAGGTGTGTTAACCCGTCATACCGTAAGAGTACTCACGGGCGAGGATAATTTCTCACAAATCTACCAAATTAAACACATGAATCCGCTAAATTAAACTTCGAGTTAAAAAAAAAATTGAGTAAAACATATGGCATTACTGAAGTTTAAACAATGTATAATGAATTTATTTAAAATGAAGAAAAGCACTTAATCAACTATGATAAGTAATATTCAAGTAGTTAATTATTTTTAATACTAAAGAAGTTAAAAGTAAGTGATATTTAATTTAAGTAGATATTTAAAAATTGCAGTCAAAGACTTTGGTTGGGTAGTGGTAGTAACCTAATCTTAAGAGGCTGTTATGGGTTCGATTTTTAATCGATGTATATATATACTAGCTCAAGTACCCGATGCCAGTTAAGTTTGATTGAGAGTAATGTATCTAACAACAGAGAGAACGATACCGCTGTAATCCTACTCTAATTACTGATCTTTGATGTAACAAAATCGGATGAGGGTGTTTTCTTCTGTTATGAGTTATTTTTATTAAAATCCTGACATCATTAATATCTGCTAGCGTATTTTCCCTATATTCAATTTTAGTAGATTAAACGTGGTAACAAATTTATCATAATCAATCAGAAATCAATAAAACAATTCGAAAAAATAATCGATGTTCACACTCCGAAACTCCGACTAAAACATTTAAGCTTATGGTTTACTACTGTTACCCGACATGCGTTGTAGTGCTACTTAAAGGAAAGAAAGTGTTTGTGTTTTAATTCTGCTTATTGAAATGCTTTTGGATACACAATATTTTTTTTTCCATTTGGTGTGGGCAATTTCACTTTTCTACTCATATAGCACCATTCCTAGTACTTCATTCTTAAATTTTAGGGTTCTGCAATGCATTATAATTTATCTATCTTTCCAACGATCACACTTGAATGAAGACTGATATCACAATTAGCGTCGTAATGGAATGCACCAAGATTTAAATCAGCGTGCAGTATTCCTCTAAATCGAGCAGTTGCGTACACGAATATTTTCCAGTCTTGCTTCCCATTGCTAGTTTGTTTCATACGAACGGACTTGTATTCAGTATGTACTCGAAAATTTTCCTGTCTTTCTTCCCGTCGCCAGTTTATTTCTGAAGCTCGTGATGACCATTTTTTTTAATCGTGCTTAAGGTGCAAAATCGAGCAACCAAATTTTCGCTCTAGTGGCATAATTGATTTCGCAGCAAATGTAACGCTTTGAGAAGATTATTACAAATTCACTTTCAAAAGCAAAGGAAATGCGTGTGATGCAGTAACACGTACGTTGATGCGTGCGTGTTATTGCGTGAAAAATTAAATATTTTACCCTTTGCTGAGCGATAACACGCTTTGAATTGGGCAGTGCAACACAGCAAAAGTAACACTTTGAAAGTAACGCTCTTAACTAGCCGAGTTTTTTTTATTAAATTCGAAGTGAATTAATATAATTACGTTTTCCCGAGTACCAACACAATTTTTTTATATCGCCGAGTATGCTGATTAAATTTGAAATATCTATATCTTACGCTTTTGCAGAGTGGCAATGTAAAGCTCTCAGGTCTCTGAATTTTTTCAGAAATTTGTTAAATTCGCGTAAAATATATGTATATTGAATTTTTTGTGGAAAAAACTGGACGTCAACCTTTCCCAGGACTCAGAAAAGAATTGTAGATAGTTACTTACAGAACAGCAAATTTTCCTGGCTTTCAAAGAGATTTAAAATAAGGAAGCTTTATTTTCAAACTTCATAGATTATATAGTTATTATAATTACTTATCTGAGTCAGGCCTGCTACTATAACCTAACTTTTTTGACATCTTAGGCATATTAATGACTAGTAGATGAAGGCCCAAACTTAATGGAAGTTATGCAATATGTATATGTATACATTTATAAATTTAAATACATTGCAATTATCTATACGGCTTATTTAGAATTTAAGCAGAGTAGTTATTCTATACAGTATGAGAATTAAATTCTTTCCCCTCATTCTGAAATTTAATTTTTAAAAACACCCGATTATAAGACCCTTACAAATTTCAGGACAGAAATATAGAAAAAAAAAGGGGGGAGAAGTTATTTCAAGAAAAACGGTAAATTATGCGGAATCACGAACGTTAATGAGTGTAGCAATTCTTTGAATCGCAATTTGTTTTATTCAGGGGAGCCCAAAAGAATGGGAAGACTGATAGACAGAATGAATGCTTTAGAAATATTTATTTATGCCAAATAATACTGTAAAGTTGAT